ATTGCAAATTTTGTGCTAACAATATTTGGTTTTAAGGAATATTACAGCCTGTTACTCTTCTTTTAATTTTTTACGTTGTAACTTAGAACGTTTTCAGCAAGTGGAAAAGGAGCTGCCAAAACTAGACAATCAGTATAAAAACGAGAGACCTGAAGATCATGTACTCTTTGCAATTTGCAAAATATTAGCCATGCCTAACATCCCCTGAAAATGTTACATCAAGCGTTTCACAGAGTATAATCAAGTATACTTTTAGTAAAGGCTATACCATGCGAGGTATGATTATTCCAAGGCATGTTGCACTAGGCAATGCTTATGCAACTCTGACTCGTCTCGCAATAGCGCAAAACAGACCTTTTTACCGATACGGCGGCCATATTGAATTTATTAGATTTAAGGAGTATTATGGGATGCCAAGGGGACACTCGCGCAGTATTTACGGGCGCTTTTCGGGCAAAAAAGAGAACTTCAATGTATTTTTCTTGGGAGGCGAGCATGATAACATCCAATCCAAAGCCATCGATAGGCATAACGATCTTTTTTCCCCATTACAATCTTTTTCTAGGAAAACTTAAAGAAAAAATTGGCCAGGAAAGCGCGCGTAAATACTGAGCGAGTATATCGAATCGTGCTCGTCCCCCCTGGGCATCCCATAATACTCCTTAAATCTAATTAATTCAATATGGCCGCCGACTCGGTAAAAAAGTCTATTTTCCAGCGAATTCGTAATCGAGAGCGACTGGAGCGATTTTGGTTCCACGCAAAGGATCATGGGAAAGGCGAAGAGTCTCGCCCAACCTTCGCAGCGCCCTTTGCACCAAAACTTAGCATTTCCAAGGTCCAATGCGCGATACTCCTTGGTTGCTCTTGAGACACCTCGGAACGAAGCAGGTAACAGGGCCTTAACAACAAGATCTAAGTATTTCTCGGCTGTAGGCATTGTTGAGCTACCCAGGTAGGTAAAGGCAAAGTCTGCAATCTGCGTGCGCAACAAGTGGCTCATTCCCAGCGAGCAGAGGCCCTTCGATCTTTCCGCTCGTTGGGTAGGTAGCTCATGCAGCAACTTAGAATTTTTCTACCGTACTTTCCCCTCTGGACGCGATGTTAGTCTATCGTTGGTTACTCCGGTACGCGTACGATTCCAAAGCGCCAACCATTGGGCCACCGTGCCTCTCTGTTAGCTCCTACCTAGCTTTTTCAGGAATTTTGATACATTTAGCAGAAAAACATTCAGTGCTTTTAATACAAATTAGGTGGCAGACCACAGCGCATGTTAACGTTATCATTAAAAAGCCTGTTCTACAAATGCGTGCCTACTCACTTTTTCTGAAATAAAAATTTACCAATGGGAGAAGAGTCAACGAAAGGCTGAACGTTTCATTAAGGTTTAGTGATCAAATACAACAGAAGGAATCTTAAACTATTTAATACCGATTTACTCGTAGACTGCGAGCAGTCTATCTTTTTCTTCAGATTTAGTAAGGGGAGTGCACGCGCGCGCGAGCGTTGAGCGGCGAAGCCGCGAAACACGAGAAACGAGGGCGGCAGCCCGAGAAGAAAAAAGAGAGACTGCTCGCATAGCCAGACCCAATGAAATATGCGTTGGCCTCACAACGCAAAATACGATTGGCTGATGCGTGAAGCGTTGACAACAAACTGTCAACAATCGAAACCATTGACAAGTTGATGATGGCTGAAGCACTGCAGGAATGTTTGTCACGTTTCCCGAAAAAAAATATAGATACAGAGCAAAGAGAAGCATAAGAAGGTCTCATCTCTCCGGGAAATTGACGTTACCGCGCAATTTAAATGCTCAAAGCCTCTCTTTACTGTCAAGGAACGCTTTAGTTCCAAAACGGTAATCTTACTTTAGAACTTAAAACAGAAAGTAGCATAGACTGGAAGACTCTTAGACTGTTTATTTTATAGAGCTAAAACAAAGGTAATTACCAACGGATGCACTACAGGACATCGCGCTATAGAACAAAGATTCGTTACACTGAATCTCAAGAAAGAAAGGAAAAACAAAAAGACAAATCGGCGCCCAAAGAATGATCTTGAGTGACTTGCAGCCTTGGCTTGGCTTTAGTTAGGCTACAATTGGGATGTGTATAACACTATCCCGTGAAAATTCAACATCCTGCAAACTAGAGCTAGGCCTCGGGTGATCTCATTCAAAACATAAAGCACAGGAAATGAATAATTAATATATGACCTCTAAATATGAGACCAGCGGCCACAATTAAGATTTGCTCAGCCAATTTGTTTAGAATCGACTCTAACTCTATGCACTGCGTAAGATGCGCTTTTTAAAAAAAGAAATGTAGGAAAACCTCTGTTGTTAAAGCAAACTCTAAGGTCACGTTTCACGTGCCTGGCCTGTCAACACTTCAGTTTTTATGCCAAAAAATCACTAGGCCGTGAAAGACCATTCTCTGTGGCTTTGCGGGTAGTCTCTCTTTTTTTGTGCCTCTCCCGTCTCGCGCCTTCAGTCACGCGCGTGGGCATTTGCGTATCTCGGGCGTTTTGCTCGACGGATCAAAAAAAAGGGAGGCTGCTCGTAGTCTAATTTACTCGGTATCAAGCTGATAGGTTGTCGAGGCTCCTGATGGCTCGCTGTTTACGTCACTAAGATTGTCATCATGTGACTGCTGAGACCGCAAGCAAAGTGACCCTACTCTCCCCCTCTTCTTTAAACAGCAGAATTTGGGAATAGTCGAGTTGATTTCTTCTGCTGCGCATAAAACACTTGTTAAAACACTGGAAAGAGTTGACAGTCCGATGATCAACAAGACAGCACGCATAATTATCATACCAATTAGGTAATCTCCAGTAGGTGCTCGGCCTTGATTCGGGACCAGATCGCCAAATCCGATGGTGCTAAATACAACGAAGCAATAGTACACAGAAGCCAAGAAGTCCCAATCTTCTGTGTAATTGTACAAGACTCCGCCCAAGATCAACTCTAGTACCATCAGAAGGGCTGAGAAGATCATGGTTTTTATTTTAAGGTGCACTGGCTCCCTTTTGAGAACTTTCCTCTCGAAATTCGTGATCAGTTTGGTGAGAAGCTCATTGATTCCGTCTCCAAGAGCCTTTAGAGTAAGAAGGTTGAGTGGGATTCCTATAATAGCAAAGAATATGCAGAACAAACGTCCAGCTGCATTTCGCGGCGATATGTGACCGTAACCTGTAGAAACCAGATTAAGAAAATTAAATGAAAGTTCACTCTCTGAGAACCGGCATTAAGTTCTTGTCTTATAGAGAAGTGTCACTGACCTCAGTAAGAGTGAAGATAAAGAACATACAAGAAGGCAGCTCCTCTTGTCTATTTTAGGGAGGTGGCTACAGTAGCTTTCTTTAATTATAGCTGAAGTGTCTTTTAAAATAGATTTAGAGTTAACTGTAATATAATAATGACTGAAAATATTTAGCATTACTGAAAAACGTTTTGATGTAGATAAAAAAGGAATAACACCCGTCTATTTTGAATTGAAATAGAATCTCAATAAGAAATAATCAGAAAATCAGAGGGAAGACAAAAGTAATAACGCCTCTGATCCTTTCTGTCGATTTCTGGAGTTACCAGGGCTGGCTAGGCTGATTCGAAAAATACAAGTTATACCGGTTCACGGCTAGCTGAATGTAAAAATTCTGAAACAGGGGCGTAGCTAGCGGGATTTTTCAAAGGGTGGGTCACACCCAGGGTAGCTGCCAGATTGACATGTCGACATCCAGGACGTGTTTTACTAAAAGTGACATTCTTTTTTCATATAAGCAGCGATTGTGGGGGAGGTCAAACCTACAGGATAGCTGCATAGATTAATTAAGTTCCATGCAGCATAAACTACTCTGTTTTAGAAGGAGCCTGGTTTTAGTTACGAACAAGAACGTGGTCCACTGCATATGTTCGGTCCTGAAAATGGAGAAAGCAACAGTCTTGCACTGGAAAAGATTTATGGCATGTTGATTCTTCAGATTCGGATGCGTTTTGGCCACCTGAATTATAGGGACATAAAACAATTATTTCACAAAGGGGTGGGGTGGGGGAGAGTCATGAGCACCCCAGGACCACCCCTTTGCTACGCCCCAGTGAACTTGCCTGAAAACGATAGAAGATTTAACTTTCTTTGGTTGTGCTTTATCGCAAGAAAAATGAAACTGAAATAAATTTTTCTAGACATTTCAAACTCTGTCTAGCTTTGTTACGGACCATCGAATACTAAGCCTTCAGGACGATTATTGAACTAAATTTCTTTTTAACTTACCTATAGTGGTTATAACTGACCCAACAAAATAAAGCGATGAATAAAGAGTCCACTCTGTCTTCTGGGCATTGCTTTCTTTGTCAACAATCTCTCTCACACGAGCTAAAATCATCACCAATTCTTGCCTTGTTGTATTGAACTTTTGCAGTAGGTCTTTTTCTAATGACTCCGTCAAGTTCTTGGTGATAAGGTCTTCCCCAAGGCGATTTTCCAACGTTTGAAACACAACCGCGCCAAAAAGCATGTAGAGAGAGGTTAACAAAGATAATAGCACTAGATCTCGCAACAGTTTGTGGTCCATGATCGCGTAGCGTAGGTACATTAAACAATAAGTTCCGAGAACACCTGAATAACTCTGGCTTTCAACCACAAACCGGATTCATTTCTTTCCACGTAACAAATTCCTCGATAAATTCCGGCAGCATATATATGAAGGGTAANAAATGAAACTGAAATAAATTTTTCTAGACATTTCAAACTCTGTCTAGCTTTGTTACGGACCATCGAATACTAAGCCTTCAGGACGATTATTGAACTAAATTTCTTTTTAACTTACCTATAGTGGTTATAACTGACCCAACAAAATAAAGCGATGAATAAAGAGTCCACTCTGTCTTCTGGGCATTGCTTTCTTTGTCAACAATCTCTCTCACACGAGCTAAAATCATCACCAATTCTTGCCTTGTTGTATTGAACTTTTGCAGTAGGTCTTTTTCTAATGACTCCGTCAAGTTCTTGGTGATAAGGTCTTCCCCAAGGCGATTTTCCAACGTTTGAAACACAACCGCGCCAAAAAGCATGTAGAGAGAGGTTAACAAAGATAATAGCACTAGATCTCGCAACAGTTTGTGGTCCATGATCGCGTAGCGTAGGTACATTAAACAATAAGTTCCGAGAACACCTGAATAACTCTGGCTTTCAACCACAAACCGGATTCATTTCTTTCCACGTAACAAATTCCTCGATAAATTCCGGCAGCATATATATGAAGGGTAATTCCTCAGTTTTCAATTCAGTGACTAATTTGCGGGTTTTCTTATATAATTAGTCTGAAAACTCACGTAATCTCGGACAAAACATCACTTAATTACCACCAGTAGTTCAGTTTCTCAAGAAACCCCCCGCTATTTAAAACTCTCGCCCAAACAAATGTATATAAAGTAAGAAAATAAACCAATCGGAAAAAAGGAAAAGCAAGTCAGTGACTGAACAGCATTAATTAAAGCAAAGTTAGGTCAAATAAAACATGCGAAATTGAGTTCATTGGAAGAAAAATGGGAGTTCTTAGCTCTGAGCCTTAAACAACCAGTTTTTATTCATGTAAAGTGGAGATTGAGTTAAAGTAGTTGAGAATAACCGAGAGAATTCACAATACTTTTGAAGACGAAGAAAAGAAAAAGAGAAAGTTACTACAGTTAATTGCTAAGATTATCAGGTAATACAAACATGGCGCCGGCTTCTTCTTATCCTTGGAACTGAAAAGTAAACTTTCGACACAACACAATTAATGTAGGCTGCCCGATGAGTTTAATTTGAAGACGGTGACAACACTGGTTAATTGTATAAAGTAGCAATAAAGCACCTGAAAATATCGGGTGATTATTTACTTTAAATAAAAAGTAATCAAACTCAGGGCAAGCTGATCCTTACAATAGAATTATGACAAAAAAAAAAAGACGAAAAACAAAAATATAATGAGAGCCGGTACGTTTGCCATCACATTGTTTCGCTTCGAAAAACAACGCTTCTTTGGCAGCCAATGCTAAGGATTGGATCAGTTCTAACTTTTAAGACATATATTATTGTATTGAAAACAGTAAAAGCAAAAAGCTCGATAAAGCAATGAATATGACTGGTAGGCGGTTAAACTAATTAACCAGCGACTATAGTACACGCAGTAACCAGATTTAATTAAGGAGTTTCGTCGTGTCATTTGTTGTAAGTTGTCTATGAGCAACGGAAAAAAGTAATTCACTCACGCAGTCTCTTCTTGTACATATGTGCATGTAGCACTGAATATCACCGGTATCATGACTATACTACGCAGAGCTTTCTGTATACAAGATCTCTGTTAAATTTTAAGTTTTTTGTGTAGCCGCCTCCTTGCCTAGGAATGGATAGGGGTATAATCAAGCCTAAATAAACACAGGCTAATATTCTCGCCGTAAAAGATAACCACACAGCCTTGCAATTTCCTGGTTGCCGATGAAAGTGCCGCTTAGATAAGTATTGAAGGAAGGCGGGAGCAAGAGCGGTGCAAGCGTGAGGTTTATAGAAAACAGCAAAAGTTCGACGGCTTCCTTTTTTATGCAAACAACCACTTCAATATACTTTTCCAAATTTTTTTGCATTGATTCATACTTTAAGAGCTTCATCAGAATCATGTGCGATAATAGATAGAGCGTTTATATCTGCTACTGTGTTCGAGAAGTTGCAGTCGCACTTCTGATATTTCTGTTAGTCGTTGTAGTTAGCTTCCGCTGCTTCTTCGTAAGAAAACTTAAAAAAATCTTGTGAATAATAAAGAAGAAGGTTCATTAACGAAAGATAATAAATTGATTATAGTGTCTTGCGTCAGTAGAGCCAGCGAGGATCATCAATCAGCGGCGTTACTTCATCCGAAGCAAATCGCCTGAAGGGAATTACGGAAGGAAAGACAATGGTGTCCAGGCCGCTGGAGACTGAGTACAGACCGTCAGTTCTAGGACCCAGTTCGTCTGAAAAATCACTGCTTTTACGTTGACAGCAAACACCTAGTGATAGTGAACATAGAAATTATCACGTTTAAAAGTTTGCTCATCATGTACTCTTACCCTGTTATGGTGGCAGTAACAGTTTTACATTGCGTTGGACATAAGAGAAAACTGTTTGCATAGAGTGTTTCCGGGTGTCACAGCTAAGAAAATTAGAGATTTAATGGACAATCCTCTGGGCACCTCTCTCACAATTCAGGCAGGGATATCTCGAGTTATGGCTTAGCACACTTGTATTCAGAGCGTCACTCGTTTTTGGTGACTACTACCGTAAAATTCCGAAAATAAGCCCTGGAGCTTATATTTTTCAAAGGCCCTTTTTGAGGGGCTTATTTTTGGAGGGGCTTAAATTCGGAGGGGCTTATCTACGGAGGGAAATTTGCGTTCCAAAATCGATTGGGCTAGCCTTATAGTCTGAAGGAAATTTACCGTTTTTTCTTTGTTTTACTGTGTATTTGGGGGCAATTTCCAAGTACAAGCCCCCCCGGGGGGGGGGGGGGGG